TTGCATAACAAATGTCCTTTGTGGCCTGTCTAGAAACCACAAAATCTAGTTATTCTTGTTAAAATTCTAGCTGATGTCTGAAAACCTGTGATGCATTTGCAAATTTCTTGTATTCAGTGTATTCAAGAATTGTCTAAAATTGTGACAAAATGACTCCATTGAAGCTGTACGTTTTTGGTTGCCAGGGTTTTTCTATAGCGTTGTTTTTCTTCACTGGCCTCTCATAGCCACTTCCTCCTTTAGGGCCGCTGTCTAAAGTAATTGCCGCCTGTATAGATCCAGACTGCCCCATGGTAACAGCCCAGTGTTAAAATCATTACAGTAGCTTCCACTCGGAGGCATTCCAGGTGTACTGCCACTCCCCACAAATGTTTCATTATAGCTGCATCACAATTGCTAATCGTATTTCCTCCTGTGGTGCATTTCCCCGAACCGTCTCCTTCCGTCATTGTTAACAGTGCATCAGACCTACATGGGCAAAGGCGCTGTTTTTTCTCAACTTACTCGCGGTGACTTCATAAAGCTAATGTGGGGTTGACTCATGTAGTCAGAAACAAATGAGTTTTGACTCCTCAGGTCAAGACAGTGTGTAATTTTATTATTCAGTACAGCGCTTCAAAACAATGCTGGGATTAATTAGCATACAAGTTAATTAAAATCCAAATACTGCAATTAGGCTATTCCTAACCTCCTATTCTGTTTGTATGGAATTTTGTATGTTATTTAGCTGTTCATATTTAATTATTATTTTTTCTCAAACAATGATTCTCCTGGGTGTGATTAAAACATGACTTAATTTTTGAGATTGTGGTTCTGATTGCGTTATATGGTGCATTTTGAGTCAGTAAGACCAGGGCAGTTTTAGCTCTAAAATATTAGCAGTGTGCGATACATATGAATGACTTATGGCCTACTGTAGCTTTTTGGGAAGCTTTTCAAACTTGAAAAGCCCAATATAGTTGTTAGAAAAAAGAGATGGGTGGGTAGTTTATACCTGATAAATATGATCTAATTATCTGGGTGCAGGGATGGAAAGTATCAGGAATCATGTTACTATAATTGAGTACATTTCTTGGGGTAATTGTACTTTTTTGAGTAGATCTGTATACTTGCATTTGTAATTGAGTATAATTTTATGTTGTAACTACATTTAAAATCATATGTGGTATTGACTACAGCACCAGTCCCATTTATCTGTCTCACCGCTGCGTCTGCTCCTCCAGCTCTGCTCCTCTTTCACTACACACACATAACAACACCCCATCGCTTTCTCTGACGGGCCAGAGCTCAGAAAATATGCGGATATGACATAGTTTGTTTTCACCAGTAAATAATTTCAGAAACCTTTATCTAAACCAAGACTTATCCAAATGACATATAGTTTGAAGTCAGCTGGGTTCAGGATTACCAGGAGTAGTACTTTCATTCTAGACTGGCTTAGCTTCTGGATGCTCTCTGTCTGTACTGATCGTGCTCAGCCTGCATTCCTTGGAGCAGTACCACCTCCTCATCCAAGTTTAGGGGTAAAGGTTACATCAGTGGCGCTCCAGGGTCCGTACATTCCCTGTGCCACACTGACATCACCCCGGTTCTTTCATCCCTGAGAGCGAGCGCCCCTCTTTCGCTGACCCCCCACTCTTATACCACCTGATGTCCCTCTCCTTTGACTTTAAGGCTACCATATGTCAGCAATCATCTGCCCTTCAAACCGGACTGGACCATTGTTAACCAATTGGGCCCACATGCCTGTAATCTCTCTCACAAGGCGCTGGTTCGCAATGAGGTCCGCTATTTGTTTCCCGTCTGATGCTAATGACCTGTTTGTTGTGAAAGTCCCATGTCCCGGTGAACACAGCATCAGGCTCCGTATCAAAGATCAGAGGCACATAGAGTTTTATGGCTTAGCTGTGCCCAGGACAAATGAGGACAGATGGGTTGAATCATGACATCAAAATCAAATAATGTGTGGTTTAGCATATTTCTGAATTCACATAAATACTGTCAATGCCTGGTTAGAACTTGTGTGTCAAGCTATAATATAGGTTTAGGTCATAGACTGTATAAAGAAGTGGACTAAGGGGATAAGACCTCACCCTTAGCATCCAACTCCAGTCAAATGAAGCTCACAATGCTGGAGGTTACCTGAGCAAATTTGGAGCGAGCTTTGGAACACATTTGGAACAGGAATTTATTTACGGACAAATTAGCAAAATAAAAACACCGGGATCTTGTAGAGTGTGTTTTAAGGCCATTTTAAGGCCAAAATGACAAGGCCCAAAGCGACAGTTACAAAAAGAGGGGTGACAATATTTCAGTGTCAAGTGGAAAGTGAGCTGTGTCCGTTTATATATACACTCTATGGTTTAGGTTAGTTTATTTGCCATTTGTAGTTAAAAACAAGTTTTGAAAAATGTGCAAAAAGCTTGAAGTGCACCATGATACATTAAAAACAACCACTTGAACAAAATATAATTATTACAGGCAAAACGTTGATACTGTGAAATAAGCACATTGCAAAGATTAAGTAATATAAAATATTAAGGTGCTACATCAAATTTCAAAGTGCATTGTTCAAGCTTATAAGACCTGGTGGGAAGAAACTGTTAGCCAAAGTATAATGTTATAAAGTAAGACAATTCCTTCACCATGCAGCGTTGGTTGAACCTCCTTTTTTTATTTAATGTAGCTTTTTCTTTTGTCTGACAATGCGCTGGGATAGTCCATAAGCTTCCATTCGATTTCTCTTCCATGTTTCAGCTGTTGGGATATTAAATGATACATTCTATATTTATTTTGGATGTCATCTCTGATTTTAATGCAGATCTACACAACTAGTAGCTGCACCTCACGATTCCAAATGGATCTGCAGGATAAACCCCATTAACCAAACACAGTCTTTTTTCCCACAGTTATTCTACACTGGAAATCTATTTTAAGCAAATTACTGCAGAGGCTTTCATAGACACAGAAAAACACTTGTGTCTCTGCCCTCAAACCCACAGGTATTGGGCTCAAATATATCCCACTTGGCTCAGGACAAACTAACCTCACTGCAGAGCTGTGCACTGGAGCGGTTACGTCACTAATGAACACAGCCTGCAGTCCACAGAGTAAAATTACATGATCAGCTAATAGTGCTAGTAATAGCAGCAGTAGCAGGAGTAGTAGTTGCCATTTCCATAATAAGGGAAATGCCTTTTATTTTGTATTTCTAAATTGTTACAGTGAGAGTTAACAATATTATTAAGGGTTTTGGATTTTATGTCATGAAATAAAGAATAAAAATAAACATTATAGGCTACATCTTATGTTTACTACTTATACATCTTTACTACTTTTTGGAGTTTAATTTGGAAACTAAACTTTACGTTTGGTTTGGTAAAGTGAATGTCATTTATGTGTTTTGTGTAATACCCCTATAAAGTCCAATATATTTTTTCACATTGTCAAACCCAAGACTCCTAACCCATTTTTGAAGGTTTTGATTTTCCCACATTTCATAACAAGAGCCTACTTAATTCTACTGTTCAGTAATCACTGCCAGCATTGTGCCAAAGAAGTAAGGCCTCAAATAATGAGGAAAGTCTATTTGTAAAAGTGGGCGAGCATCTGGGAGTGGTTGTGCAGGATGAGGCATCATCAAGGGGTCCCTGGCAGCACTGGCCATGCAGTGTTGGAAACATGTTCTTTCCAATATGCAGAGCAAAAACAAAACAAGGAGTTCCACCGGCGCACTGGGAAACACCATCATAAACAGTCACCTCAAAGAAATCACATGGAAACTTGCACTGTTACGACTTGACAAGACGCCCAGGACTCCCCTGTAATGAGGCGGGCGCACACAGCACTGCGCTATTCTCACTATTCAAACCATGACCAACAACAACACTGTTTGTTTTATATAACTTTCAGGGGAAAGAAATCTGCATTTTTGAATGGACTGAGCACTTTACAGACTCTGTGTTTCATTTTGTTGCACAGTTTTTATACAGTGTAGAGATCAAGATAGTATCATCAAACAACAAAGCCGATTTGCCAAGTCCAACTTTGGGCTTCTTTTTTTGTGTGGCTTTTGGGGGGCTTGTCACTGACCGATACTTTAACACCATAATATAGATGATCTTAGCTTCTTTTTTGTTGTTCTGCTTCATGTCAATAGACCCAATAATGACTGAAATAATTAGCTTTTTAAAATTTATGATCCTATTAAAAATAAGAGCACCTCAGTACACAAAACATTATTTAGTTTTAAAATTTTAGTTTTTATTTTCGTGGGGCTGGCACTACTTGTTAATCTCTGAAAATTTGGCAACCCTGTAATATATAGTATTATATATTATATACATACATAAAATGATCACACCCCCTTAGCTTCTCTGTGAAGTTTTCATTTTCATCATTAACTTTCTATCTTTTTAATATCCTTCAGACCCTAGGGAAAGCCAAATGTATGTCACCCAAAGGTGACATGTCCAATTCTGCACCAACTCATCCTTCCTACATGTCAGATACTGAAGCTGAATGTCCCATAACAAAGCACTGCATGGGTCTGAGGGAAGTGCTACCAGCAGATAACACACACACATATGAAAAGCATTGTCCTATTCTCCCTCCAGTCCACACCCACAGCCACGTTCTATAGGTGCTTGGATGTTTAGCACCAATCTAAAGGGACACAATCATGTATTTTTTTCACTTTATCATCACCTGCCTGGCTGTTGGCTTTACAATGCCCATTAGACTAGATGAGAAAAGGCAATGTCTACATTCAATTTTACATTCTGTAAAATTGTTACATGTGTTTGGACATTGTGTTGGATTTGTTCAGGTAAGTAAAAGTCTATTATAATGTCATGAATTTGTGTGGGTGCTATTAGCAACATGACACTAACAGATTAACCACTTACACTAGAGAATATAATATAATAATTAAGATAAGAATATAAATGGTGATAAATTCAAAATAAGTAGCAAAATAGCAAGAAACTGGGGTCAAATAAGGCATTATTATATAAAGGTATACGTACAAGTAAAGTATTGTTACAATATTAAGTGATACAATTGGACTTCATGTACTTTGTCAGTGTGTGGGATTACATTTTTTGCCAGAAGACCCATGTGGGGCTGCCAGGACTAATAGACATTACAAGAATATTATTCACTGCTGAAAAGGACATGTAAGAAATTCAATCCTGGTCCATAAGGCTCACCTCGTCTTGTGTCGTGAAGCATTCTGGGGGGTGAGGTGAATGGCAGGGCACTCAACACTCTACAGTACTCCTGTAATGTGCACAAAGAAAACTTGGCATCATAAACATATGGATCCATAGACATTTGTAACAGCATAGTAATGTAATTTGGCTGCATAACTAGAATAATATTTTAACAATCAATTTGCATAAGTTATAATGTTATTGATAATTACATTTTAAGAAGATTATTTTAGGTCCAGTGCTCATTCTATTGGCTTTGACGTTAATCGAAGAGGAATACCTTGAAATGAAAAAAGAGAAAAAAGAGCAAAATGCTGACTCTGTAATAAACAAATCAAAGTAAGTGGCCAAACATTGCATGAAAGCTTTTGGAAACACCGTTGACATTTAACAATTCCCATTCAGCCAATGGCGAAACATGTCAAAAGTACTATTGGAACATGTAAACACTGGAAGCCTCTCAAATGTCACCAGATCTGAAGTGTGTGTCACATTCCTCCATTCATTCAATGATTTGCTCCGTGAGCTTGTTTTTTTTTTTAAGTTCCAGAAATGGAAAATCCAACATGGAGGCACCCCTTATGGCGCACCAGATACAGGCCAGGAGACTGTTGGAAAGCTGCAGAGAACATGGATACATTTGAATTATATGACCTTGAAACTATTATGGGCACTATTCAGAAAATGACACCTTTGGTTAAAATCTATATATTGCCTGCTCCAAAACTTGATATGGGACATCACCTAGACATGTCATCACCTGTGGGCTTTCTCATATAGAGGCCTGCTTTCTACTTCATGAATGAGGTAATATTATTTTAAGATAAAAAGACAAGTAAAGCCTGGATAAAATTATGAGTCCTAAAATAAACTGGTTACTTGAGAAGGAACACTTTCAATATGTGAAGGCTGCACATATAGAGAATGTGCCATGTGCAATACAATTCAGCTTTTGACATTTGGTTTGGCTTATGGAAACTAAAATGCTATTACAGAATTTATTATGGTATAGACAATATATTCTTCTTTATGCCATCCTTTTGAAAGCCTATTTGATTCATTATAAACATTTGCCTGGGATCCAGAATATACATTTCTCTAAGACTTTACAAAGATGTGAGTCCGTTCACCATTCACTCTCCCATTTTGAGATGGGAGTGATTGAGAGGTGGATCAGCCAGTACAAAAACAAAACAAATATTGCTACTTATTAGGAAAAAGAAAGTAAAATAATATCAGAAGAGACTGAAAAACTTCACTTATTTCTCCAGAATCAATAAACGAAACACTAAACTCTGTTCATTTGAGGTGAGGGAAATTTTTGTTTGTAAATGATGGGTGACCAATGAGCTCCTTTGTTTCACATATGTCACTAAAGGTTAGTACTGGAGACGCAATGGAGGGACTGGGAATCAGACTGACTGATATTCCACTGTATAAAAAATAGTTTTCTGTTTTTTCCAGCCAAGATGGACGTGTAAAAGAAGGCAGTAAATATGAAGGCAGACGTGGTTTAGAGTAAATTGCATCATGGCTTTACTAATCTGCGTTATACAAATTAAAACATGAGTAGTTCTCTGTGCAGATGCTTCAGACCTTGTCATTTGGCCTTAATGTGTGTGAACAGAGCAGACCTTTCTCATGACAGCATGTCCAGTCCACACACAGACTTGATACTCTGTGTGATACTGAATGACGGAGAACAATAACACAAAACACTCCTCTAATGAATCATCAATGGGCAGGTCTGGAGACAAAACTCTGTGAATCAGCTTCATTTTCCTATCAGCAGTAATAATGCTTCCACCCCTCTCTGATGAATTTCCCTGGTGCTAAGTGGCTCAACATGCCTCCCATGTTTGGCTGTCTGAGGTCACATCCTTTAAGGAATTAAAAGCAGGCTCCTGCCCCGACCCCAAACTTAAACGCATTGATCTCACTTGGCTAAAGGCAACAGTACGCGCTTCTGACTGAAAATTGCGCACATTTTCACAGTTTTTTTCCCCAAGAGTAATCACGAAAGCTAACAGAAAACAGCTAATAGTGTGTAAATAGTGTATGTACTTGTCACATGTATCAGAAGTATCAAACTATTTGTTGAAAATGGGGGAAGTCTGCAAGATTACAGGAAACATTCTACCTGCAACGATTGTGATTTATTTTTTATTTTTTATACTTTTTATACAATTTTTTCTGTCATTTCAGTTTAAACGGCCCATATTATTCTGTTCCAAGTTATATGTCATTTCCCAACCCTGCATATTTACAGTCTGTTCCGCCTTGTGATGTCATGTAGTAATACCCGAAGAGCTTCACTGTGTTTTTAAACTCCGCACACCTTCACTAGAATCATTTGGACGATTTCAGACCTGGTATTACAAGGTGGGACAGGTATGTTTTTAAGGAGGTAACAGCATTCTAACATGGTTTAAAGCTCACAATTTTGTGTATTTTTTTATTAACTGCAACCATCACCATTGAATTTACCTTTAAACTTCAAATTTGAATATGCACTGTAGCTCTACAACTGAGCTACAGTACATGTAAAATGAATGAATCAGGCTTGAATGAGAAACAAACAAATGGTTCAGTTTCAACTTCTTGCCTGTTTATTCCCTAACATCTTTTACTTGAGCTTTATTGTCTCCATATACAAAAATTGGGCACCTACTTTGGGCAACCTGTCAGGAGCAGGGCGTGAGGGACCCATGTCCAAATCTTGAGTTAAGTTTGGTCAATACTGTGTAGCCTGTTGTGGATGTTTTGGTGCCTTGCCCTGTTACTGTCTTCTGAATAACTTCTCTGACTAAGTGGTACTGATGGGTGCTTTTCCCGCAGGCGAAATCAGCTTACAAGAAACTATTACAGTCTCTTTTATCCACTGTACTAATTGTTCTTAAGTTTGTTGGGTTGTAACACGTCACCCCTCGTTTTCCCGAATTTCCTCCTTGTATCAGCGTTAGACAGACACTAATTTGTGGGAATTGCTCTGTAATTTGGTCTATCTCTCACTTCCCAACATCTGTCTCCTGTTCCAAAGCTGCAGAATGCCCCTTTAAGACAATCTCTTTTAAAGTCAGCTGATTAGAACTATTAGCCACACTGTACCAAATGGCCCTCTGTCCTTTTAATGATATTATTTACAAACACTGTAAAGGTACAGTACTTGCAGCTACCTGGTCTGTGTGCCCTCAGCCTTATTGGGTTTACAGAGGAGCACATAGCCCTAGAGGGGCTGCTAGTTATTCTCTTTCTATATAGTTATTCTGTATCTATATAGATTTACTCTGGTGTGCATGCAGTTAAAGGTGCTGTACGTTCTTCGTTCTACTCTCTTAAATACTTGAAAATTGTGGCTATGCTTTGCAATGGTCCAGAGTTATTCCTCAATTACCTTATTCGCTCTGAGCATTTTAATTATTCAGCAGGATGAGTTTACAAACTGTTTTCACAAGTCTCAAAACCAGGGCAGAGTTTTGCTGTGACAGAAGATAATAGCAACTAGCATGCTGACATACACTTTCTGATTACCAAACAATAATTAGTTGCAGAAACACACAATGGACATAATTTTTCCATGAGAGCTCTGTACTAGGGCAAAACAAATTCGGCTCAAATTCATGGGACGAAATCAGTACTGGGACTTTAAGTTCAACATTGAAAATGATGAGAATACCTCTATTAGATCATCTTGATTATCATCAGTGTGAGTAGCAGTACAACTAACATTTTTAATTATTAACCTGCACGTTTTGTTTATTAAGGCCAGAAGTGCATCTATTTTAATATTAGCATATTTTACAAAGCATATTTATGAAGTGTAAGTCTCTTGCACTAATATTTTACCTTTGTATTGTTTTTGTAATGTTCAAACTTGAACACACCGGTGAAGGGACTGTGGTTGGACAAAAATCCAGAGCATACTTTCTTTTTTTTATTGTACATAGTGCCCAAGAAATAAATAATACTTAGCATTGTTAAACTATGCAAATTAGACTTTTTCTCTCTGACTTGGCAGCATTACATTTCCATGATCACCTTTATTACATGGTTCTTGCATGTATTCAAACAGCCATGCCCTGTCCGTGGTCCTGCTCGATGAGTAACTTCCCTCACAGACTCTCTGAACTCTTGAATGGAGCACTGTCTCTGTGTGCCAACTTCTGTCAATGCAACAGCCATTACTTTTTTGTTACTAAGTGCTTTGCAGCTTACCTCACAGTAATAAATTTGAAAGCAGCTGAAAATAAAATTGAATATGTTATTTATCTAATACTTCATTGTACTTCTCACAACACAAAATTAATTTTACATATAATATGGGCTGTTCTTAACTGAACCCCACATTAAAACTCACATCATCATCAGTCAGCTCTAACCTTTAAAAACATTCTCATTTGATTGTCCCAATACTTTAAAAGATCACGATTTCTTGTAATAAATTATGGGGTTTTCCTCTCGTCAGTGCCAGCTTAAGTGCATCTTCAATATAGTTGGAAATTTAGTGCGCTTCTTTTGGACTCATTCGCTGTGACATCCTATCAATTGCGTTTTTGGAGAATGACAATGGAAAGTTGAATAAGGAGGAAGCTGCAGAGTATGTGGTGTGTCAGCGGGATAAGTACATTTGTGGTAGTTTATGGGATACTTAAATGATACTCTCATTTAAGACACCCATACCTGAACCGTGCAACTGTGTCGACTATTATTGATAAGCATAAAATTGACCCATACTGTTAATAAATTAGAACAAAAAAATGAATGTATTTCAAATTATTATTTGCGCTGACTGCCTGTACCACTGTGAGCACCTTGAATAAACTTGTGTCTAAGTGTAAAAGTGAAACAGTAAAAAATGTTTCTTTCGATAGGGCACCAAAGACGATATGCATTTAAGCCAACTTATCTACGTAATATTCAACTTCCTGAATTTCTGAATTACTCTGAGTACACCATTCTTAAAAACCCCATTAGAGAGAGGAGCTTTTCAATGGACCGTAGTTCGTCATAAACCACAAAAGTTAATAATGAGGTCAGTACGACCTGAAGTTAATGTTCCTGTAAGTTGACGTTTTATCATTTGATTTAGTGGGATATTTGTGGCAGTGTGTTACATACTGTACATCTCCACTGTCACATCGGTCTCCTCCTGCCTCCTGCCGCTTTTTGGATCATAAGTCACAGATGAGTTTGGCCGGGCTCCATGTGCTGTGTGGTCATTAAAGCCAAAGAATACTGCCTACTTAAGCTTTCAGACTTGTGAAAAATGCTAAGCAAATAATGGCTGGAAGCACGAAGCAGTAGTCACACACTGATCTCACACTAATTTGATTGTGTTTTAAATAAATACCTGCCTAATAACAGAGCAGGTGCTTATACTGTACTATAGCCAACAGGAGGGGGCTTGACTGCAGAACTGTGGCTGGTCTTCTGGCACTCTTTGAAAGCCTCCTGAGGTCACACTGTCATCAAATATCAAGAGCCTTCACCGTCTGGGCTCAGGCTGATGGTGCTTCTTCTCTCCGCTGGATGTGCTCCGATAAGGTATTCCTCAACCACAGCTCTCTCACACACACTCCATTTGTAATGACTGTGTGCCACTCACAGATGTGGCTCTTTCTGTGCAAACCGATGAGGCAAAAATAACTCCTGAACTCAGGAAGCAGTCAACCTACGGTCACATTGTTGTCAATGGTCACCAGAGACTGGTCCAGCCACACAAACATTAGGCCTTGTTGCACAAGGTTCTACTCTGGTTTTTCTTCACTTATTAGTCAAATTCTGTTTAAATTGTTGTGTTGGATTGCACCATCAAATGTAGCAGTTTACATGGTTCATTTCTGATGTATTTCTTTTTTCATTTGTGTGTGTGAACATGATTTCAGTGAATGCCTTTGTACTGCTTTTGTCTATAGAACAACAATATAACTTCTACTCTTAACATTATCAGTAAAAACAAGTTACTAACAGTAAAAGCTGTATGTCCACTTGTGACAACAGGCACACATGTTCATCAAAGGTACTGGCAAAAGTCTTGACCATGACTCAGTGTTTGGTCAGTAGCGTTTTTCTTTTTTTCTTTGTTGTATCTTCTCCCAGTGACATCCGTGGAAACTTAAAGAGGAATTATGTGAGGTCCTGACTGAGGCTAAGTCCTCTTTCTGGATCAGAGAAAAAGCAGATCTTTGATTGAGTTTACCTTACGTCTTGAGCCACTCTGATGACTCCTTAGAGACTGAGGAAATAGTGTGATTGGTAACCATAAACAATTAGGAAGTCTTTGTCTTTGAATAACCACTCACTAGTTATCCAAAGTAAGCAGTACATAACTGAAGAAAAAACATAGGTAATGTAACTGTGTTTTAACTCTTTTTTTAATATATAAAGTTAGGCAATGGGTTCTCTTAGCCCAAGTTTAACACTTGGCACAGTCTCAGTGGAGCACATTACATCAACGCACAGAACAGATCTGGATTCTGAGTGACCCGGGTGAAGCCAATTAACTTCCCTGATGGTGAACCTGGTCTGGACTTCATATTTCATGAGCAGTGTCCACAAGTCCTGTTTAAGACTGTGGGGGACAAAAGACGTGCTTTGGAGGGAAAGGAAAAATCATCACATCCAGATGGAATTCATTTGTTTAAGGGCAGTCGTACATGTTTTTGACTTTGACATCCTACAAAACATTGACAACAAAACTAAAGATTTTTCAAGAAATAAGAGGGCTGGGTCAGGAATGGCATCTGGCACAAAATCTTTACAAAATAGGTTTGATGATATCTGTGTACTTTAAAAGGCAGATATTTTGCTCTTATCCCAAATGGAAAAGGCTAAAACATTATAAAAGTTATAATGTTAAGTATTCCCACTGAACATATTAGTCAAAGTCAAAACCGCCAAGTAAGAGTGGATTTGAGATAGGTTTAAGTGGCTGGTGACTATTGCCCAGTGCGGTGTGCCGCATGTGTTTTAATACGCAGCTCTGAGGCTGAGAACAGCACACCTGGGACACAGAGCACACTACGAGAGGAAGTGGTCCTCCGCCAAAGAAAGCAATAGAAATTTCCAACTAATTCACTCAGACCCCCCTCAAATGCCTCCTGTTAAGTCACTTTGACTGTGAAACAATGTCACTAATTACACATTTCAATTCTGCAGAGGAAAATAAAGACGCATGTGGTCCATATTAAGTCCTTAGTATTTCAGATATCCCTTAAATTAGCACTTTACTTTTAATTCACAGTGCAATTACACTGATAAACGGTTCTTAAATTCAAATTGTACCACAACTAAAAAGACTGGGTGAATGTTCGGGTTGTACACTGGAGAAGGTTAGCTCTGCGACTTCAGTTACGTAATGATTTTAATGTGTATTTCAAACTTTCGATTTCATTGCTTTTTCAGAATGTAGTCGCCAACAGGAGAAATTACCCCTAAGTGACGATTGTGCTGCAGGACGTGGAGGTAAAATATCATATCGTGAGTTGGATTTTCTACACTGTCAAACTTCACCACAGGCAGCGCTCATGGTGCTGGACCAGAGTGTGTTAAATGGAGCATTTCTGCAGAATTCTGTTGGAGGTTATAAAAGCTACAAGTTGATATTTTGTTTATTTCATTATTCATAGTTATGCTATTATGAATCTGTACAGACCATTGGTTTTAATGGCAATGGCTTTCCTCCTCTATGCATGTTTTGATGGGAACTTTAGTATGCCCTCAAGTTTTGAATTTTGTCCTCAAGGTTTTCTCAACATTAGTTTGAAAACATTCACAAGTTAGAAAAGAGATTTAACCAAAAATAGTTTTTTGTGTGTATTAGATAATTTCAGACTTCACCATCCCTAAGAAAATGACACAACTGTAACTGGTAGTCTGACTAAAGACTGACTCATTTGAGAGGGTTTATTATTATTATTATTTAAAAGGTCAAAGATTCCTACCTCTTTTGGGAGGTTTCCCCATTTTGGCTTAAAGGATTCTTATAGCTATGAGGTTTCCCATGCCCACTGCTTGTACAAGTCTTATACACTTATAAATAAATGTATTTGTATATCAGAAAACTTAAGCAAATTCATGTATTTCATTTACCATTAAATCCACTGCATCCAATTTTGAACCATGAGAGAAAAACGTATTTTAATTTGAACTGTTAGCCCAGCTCATTTAGTCCCTTTTCTCGCTCTGATATTGAACCATAACAGACAAGCAACTGTTAGGGATAATCACACATGGTTGTTTCCTCGTGATTCTCATCCGACAATGTGCCAAAACAGATTTTAAAAAAAAAAGTGTTTGAGTTGCAGCTATATGGTTTTCATCCAACAAAATGCCCCGTAATTTCATATCTTACAGTCGGGGATTCATCTCAGCTGACATTACATTACACTGCATATTAAGGGTAATAAAAGAAATAAAAGTTAAGTACATGACCTGAAATTCTGCTTATTGCCGTAAGTGAAAAGAGTCATTTAAATAAATTGCTGATACAACTGACTGTGGTCCTTTAGGAGGGCTTATACAGAAACAGTAATGCACATTGGACAGTTTAAGTCACCAATTTACATAACACATGCTTGTCATTGGGCTGTGGTAAGAAGTCCAATGTACCCAATGATTTGAGATGTCTATTAAAAATCTATATGGCAGATGATGTGATGTGGTAACCATGTAAATATGATCCACTTACTGTGCTGACAAGGTCTAAAATTACCCACATGCCAAATATGGACTCAATATATCATTTATTGCTTTTTACACTGGAACCACTTAAGGCGAAGAAGTGACTGGAAATCTCTTTTAACATGAGATAAGATGTGTTTTGGGGGTTTCCCTCAAAAACACAGCTGGTTCCTTTAAAGCCATCCTTGAACTGAATGACTGAATATTACAATGAAAGTATTACTGTACAGGAAGCTACGTGCTGTGACCGTTTTCCACGTCATGCGCTCCAGCAGGGCTTTCCTCTTGAGAGCAGATAGGAACTGGGCTTATGTCATCTCGGTCCCATCCCCACCACAAACATAGACTATCTGAGAGTCCAGTGTTTACCTCGTCACTTTTCCTGAGGTTATGGTGGAAAGAAACACGCTGATGAGGGGGAGCTAGGTAAGGTCACAACTAGGCAAGTCCGTGCAAACGCACACAACCACGAAATACAAAGCCAAAACTACAACACACAAACTAAAGGCAATAATAAATAATCATACAAAAATCTGTAAAGATCAAATCCACTCTTAACTGAATGTGATACATGATACAGTGATCATTTTCTCATTGGAAAGTTCCAATCCAGCATTTAGATTTTAGTCGTATTCTGCCAATCCACATTGTAAACAGATTTGAAAGAGCACCATCTCCATTTTCTACAGAGTGGGGTTCACTACCTGATTGAGATCACCATTGAGATATTATGGTTTTTCCATGTAATATTTCACAGTATGGCGCTGTCTTACATATAGTGAGTGGGTTCACCTCTCCACAGGTCTGACTTGTAACTTGACATGATAGCATTGCCTGCTTGCCTCCATAAACATCTCCATGGATAGAAGCAGACAACAAGCATTCCACCAGTAACGTCATAGTGAGATACTTGAGTCTTAAGAATATGGAATATAAGAGAAGGCCTTTTATCTGCATTAACAAATTAAGAGTATCCAACATGTAGTGACTGCATATGAAGTTTTTATAACGTAAATATAATTAGTGCAAAGGTTTCAGCTCATACACATTCTGTAGTCTTAACACCAGAGCCCAGTGTAAAAGAGGGTTGGACTTGATCATAATTAGCTGCACATTAGCACAGAGCCTGCAGTGTACAAGTGCAGTCGTCCCAAACAGGTATGGAAAAGGGAGCTGATACTAAACAGACCACTAGGAGGGGCACACAAGGAATGGGGTCCCACTTCATGAGCTCTCAAGGACCACCTTGAGTTGGATGACTCAGAGAGATGCAGGATTCCCATGTTTCCTACTCTAGATACCTTGCTTTATTTTAATCACACATGAAAAATAACTGAAACAGGAGCAGCGATTGCACTGCAGTAAGACAGACCAGAACATCTTATTTCCACTAGGGTGGTTGAGGTCTCCCTTAGAAGTTCGATCACCTGAGAGGAGCTCAGAGTAGAGCCACTGCTGCTCCATGTCAAGAGGACCAGATGAGGTAGCCCAGGCTATTCCAGATGCCTCTTGGATGCCTCCCAGGGGAAGTATTTGGGGCATGTCTCACCTGTGAGGAGGCACAGAAAAGACCCAGGACACACTGGCAGGACTGTGTCTCTTGGCTGTCCTGGAGGAGCTGGAGGGGTGAGGGAGGTCACTGCTCAGACTGCTGTCCCACATAAACAGAAGAAGATTGATGAATATGATTTCATAGAATGCATCTTGTACCTGTATTTATTTATTTATTTATTTATGTATTTTTACTTTAGCACAATGTACCTTATAATTCAAAATTAGATGGTTTCTGAGTCTTTTTTTTTTTTTTTTTTTACATAGTTACAGGTTGTTTTTAGTTGGTATTGTAAAATTTACTTACTCGAGTCAAAGTCTGTAGGGTTAGGGCACTAAAAGCCTGGCAGAGAAGGCACTCAAACATGGTCATGATTTGAGAGCATCTAATGGATACACGCCTGACCAAAACAACCACACTATTCCAGAATGTATTAAATAAAATCGGCTATTTATTAGTCAAATGTACCTGTCAGAAGTAACGCAAATACAAATGTACCCTGGATCACAATGGAGATCTTTTCAATATATCCAACCATAGTTTAAACCAGAGCACTCTCCTGTCTTCTATGTACACATATGGTAATGATCAGGACCATGCCAGTTGGGCAAGTCTTGTGGTTAGTCTGTGCACCGGCCAGTCATGGTGCCAACAGTGGTTAGCGACACAGCACATGATACAAAGCTGGTGTATCTCTGAATGAATACTTACTCCATCTGACGCTATGCTCCCGTGAACCCTGACTTCACTGTTACAGGACTCAAAGAGGAGCCAGCTGATGAGCGTTCGGCTGCTGTCCGTTTTCCTGCCTCAACTTTGTGGTTCACCAAAAAGGCTGAAACCAGAGAGCTTGATTTGCTTGCAATATGTGCTAAGACAAGTGATGTGAGATGAAACAGCGCAGCCTGCCATATTCCTGTGAGTACGTGCTGATTTGCAGTAGCACATGTTTTTTCTCCAAATAACCTTTTGACTGAGACAAATGTCTATCTTTTAACGCAATGTCCTGTCAGCAGTTAATGTTGTCACTTCCGCTGTCAAAAAACACCCCTCTCTTACACAGTATGTCCATTGTCATGTTATGAAGAAAAATATCAGTTAGATACTATGAAACTGTTGTTATAGCCTTGTAAATGTACCATATCTTGATTTTCTGCTCCTGTTTTGGCAGTGAAGAGACTGAAAACGTAAAGGTCCTATATTATGCAAAATTTATCGTGTGAGTTTTAAGCCATGTTAGTATATCGTTACCTCAAAAACATACCTGGAGTTGTGTTTTGTTTCATTCACACATGTTTTAGTAGTCCTTTATTATTAATCTGTCTGCATCTCCAAAGCTCAAAATGCTCCATTATAGTGATGTCATGCAGAGTTAGATTTCAAGTTAATAGCTACATTTAAACTTTCATTTTGTAGAGATTTCCGGCCTGAAATTATCAAATTGATTCTAGAGTTTCAAAACACAGTGGAGCACTTCCCACAGAGTGTTTTCAGATTGAGAGAAGAACTCAGCCTAAATATGCAGGATTTGTGTGTTAAACATGTGTGAATGAAACAAAACACAACTCCAGGTATGTTTAATGAGGAAACAATATTATAACATCAACCAGGAAATAACAGAATATAGACCTTTAATTTGCTCTGTACCTGTTGCAAGTAGAGTGTAGCTGCCTCAGTGAAATGTTTTTCAGTTCACAAATCTTGCAACACGTTTTAAAATGGTGCCAGAAAGCACACTACAGATGCCTTACGGGATGTTTTTGCATGGTAAAAAAGCCACAATGTTTCCAGCCCTTTTTTTAGTTCATATCAACATTCCCACCCAGAACAAGTTTACCTCGGCTGACTTTATAAACAGATAACACAGGAGGGGTCTGGTTTCCTATAACCACTGATAGTCCTCCAGGACGCTCTTCTCACCAAGTGCTCCGGTTCATCAAAGGTGGATCAAAAGACATTTTTATTGGGCTGCATATTTCCTGAGTTAAGACTATTGATACTTCTACAACTCTTCCCTCAAAATAACAGGCAGTACTGCACTGTCAAAGCCCTCTTATTCTCCATCTTTTTTATTTAATTTCAAGAGCCCATATTACACTATTTTCTGATTCATGTTATAATATTCAGGATCATTCTGAGGCTGAGTTATTCTCTCAAACAGAAAACACTAATACAGGAAGTGCTCCACTGTGTTTTTAAACTCCATACATCTTCACTAGAATAATTTGGATGATTTCTGCCCTATTTACCAATCTCTTCTGAACAAAAGCTAAAAAGTAGCTGCTAACATGAAAACTACCACTTCATGACATCACAAGCTGGAATAGAGCTTTTTGAGATTTGAAGATGTAGACAGATTAATAAATGGTAAAGGGTTGCTAAAACATGTGAATGAAACAGAACACAACTCCTGATATGTCTTTAGGAGGTAACATTCTAACATGCCTAAAAGGTCACAAAAGTCAAATTTGCGTAATATATGACCTTTAAGATACACTTTTATTATTTTTTTTACACCATTATAACATGTCATATTTTCCCAATTATTCAATGCCATTGGACTTAAGTCTAGTCACATACTGCAGCATTCTGTTGCCATTCTTTCAATGGGATCCAAGCATGGTAATTTGTTTGAGGATTTGTCCCAGTGTGTTACGTGTGTTATTTCATTAAGAAGCAATAGTGGGTGAAATTTGGCTGCCAATCACTTCATGACTGTCAAGAAAAAAGAACCCTCTAAAAGCAAACAGTGGAAAACACTTCTTAAGGTCACTTCTAGAAAACAAAGGTGTACAGTCATTTGATAAGAATCTAAAATAATTATCGCAATTCAGCAAAGCATTTAAATATTGCATAACAGCACAGTATGTCAAGTAAATTGTCTGTCAAATCTAGAACAGACTTAAAAACTTGAATGAGAATCCCCCTTCGGCAGAACCGGGCAGGAGCCAACATGGCAGAGACAGAAGGAACACTCCAAACGCATGCCCCATTACCAGTAAAGTAGCATGGGCTGACACTGTGCTTCACCACAATGCTCTCTGGTAGGACTTAAGGGCTTTAGACCCAGCCTCCTGCAGAGCAAACAGCCAGCACACTTGAAGGAGAAGTAGTCATACACGACAACAGTGCTACAAACCACTATGCACACACCCGAAGGGGCTATATTAAGCCTGTCAAGAGCTAAGCAAACAGAATGTGTGCCAAAGCAGACAGTGTAAGAGACCACACAAAATATTAAAAAGACTGGAGCTCATCTCACCGTTCACTTACGGTGCATATTATCACAGAAGGTAATTGGGGTAAGTCTCCACGCACTGTGTTGGCAGCAAATGATGCGCTTGTGAATGGGTTTGTCTTGCTATGTTAAAACTTGGCATCTCACTTAACTGTATTAACATAACTGATTTACTCTATTGTGCTTTGGCAATCAATCCACCCATAAACACACAATATAAAGAAGTCAGCATTTTAATTATTACTTCTGATGCAATTTCTCTAACTTTAAAAATGTGGGGAGCTTCATGGTATACAAGACAACCAAGAGCTAACAGCAATTATTTTGAGCTTTCCAGAGGGAGACAGTCTAAAAATCCAAGATTTCTCAGCCTTGTGTAAATGAATTAAAACACTTCAACTTCAACTCTGTTTTTGATGAAGAAACATTATAACATTGTAACTTAAAAATAATACAAAAAGCATGTGATATAAGGCCTGTAGCAACTCAGTACACACAATATAATAATTCTTGTTCCAGGATGTAATTACTGAAAAATCATTTATTTAAAAAATGGCTGTTTGGGTTTTGTTTAGATGAAAGATAACATTATTTGTTTCCTATCTACATTTTCAATTACCCAACCTATTTTGTAAAGAGATTGCTACAATTAATGTCCCTGTCAGGTCCCTTAAAATAACAACAATTGGAAGAAAATTATAACATGCAGTAACAGTACTAAGAATCCTTTTTCCTGGCTGCCAAAAAGAAGGTTGAGGGTGAAATCCTTGAGACACAGTTATTTTGTTTGTTCTCGTCCCCATTGTCCATCCATACACTGCAAACAAGCTTGGCCAAAATTTTAAATATAAAAACTTAAATCTATTAGAAAATGTTTAAAAGTAGTGAAATTATCTGTCCATGCAGCAAGATAATTTCTCTTGACAACTTATCTTAAAATAAACTACTTCTAGACTAGAATTAAGCAGTCTCTGGTAAGTGTTCATGGGCTGGAAATACGTTTATGCATGCTAAGTTTTAGACAAAACATACTTGAGTTTCAAACAGATCTGTAAAACAAAAAAAAAATGATTCTGAAAACAGGTGAAGTGTTGCAGGGGAAAATTATGCTAAATGGATTATAGCTTCTTTTAAACATTGTCTTATTATCGTTGCCTAAATTTAAGATTTTCTGACTAGTTGAGTCATGGAATAAATATATGTGACAATTTTTAAGATTATACAATCAATTCAAAGCTAGTAGATAATAAATCTGAAAACAAGATGAATAACCTGATATAAGTTTTAAAATCTTGGACTGATCAGAGAAATTTGCAGTGCACTCACTGGCATATCACGATAGATCCACTGGCCCTGCTACATCCATCCCTCTCATTAGATAACTTAAGGATGAGGTAACAGCATTGAAAATAGTTGGACTTCACTTTACCTTAACTTAGGTCATATTTCCCCTATTTCTTGTGGACCACCTTGACTATAGTGAACTTATTGTTCACTTCACCAAATGGGCAAACACTTTAAGTCATACTTTAATAGTGTCTCCAAATAGAGTTGTATTTTCATTACTGCCAGCTTATGTCATTTGACCCTCAAGTGAATGTAGATTGAGCTTTTTCACATTTAAGACAAAAGCCAGATGTTAGTAGGTCCTTTGGCAGGTATCAAGCAGGGTGACGAAAGGTGGCATGCCTAGTTTAATGGTGAGGTAAGAAAAACTAATATTAGCTCTTAATGACAAAGGGAGGAATACCGTCACCTAACTGCTTTGCGTCTAATTACCTGCTAAAGAATCGTGACCTGCTTGGTGCTTAACCCAGGCCATTGGTCATACATTGTTTTTGGCATCACATGTGCATAGAATGAAGCTCCTCCCAGATGTGAGGGCAACTAGAGGTCTTATTAAGTGAAGAAGTCAACTTCTTTACAACCACCCACTTATGGGTTCTCTTCCGTTCCAAAAGTATATTACTTATTTGGAGAACATAATAACGATTATCCAGAGCAACAGGGTGGCCTAGTGGTTACAGTGACCCTCCCATCATGTAAAGGACAAGGGTTCAATGGCAGTAACAGCCCTATGAGCTGGCCAACTGCCCTTCAGCAAGATGTTAAAACCACTCACTCAGTCAGTCCAAAGATGACAGTTAGCCACATGTTAACATGCTCTGAATTAAGTGGACTACTTTTTACTTTTTCATATTAAACATGGGATGCCAGGTCCTACTAAAATACTGTCAGTCATGAGGCAGAAAAACTTGCAATCAAAGTGTATCTTCATTTATTTCATTTATTTCATAGCACTTCATTTGTCTGAACTGGACATGGTATTGTGTGGGTCCAGATGATAATTGATGGTAGTAGTGCATGCAGTTATAATCACTGCAGTCATCTGACTCAGCTCTGGCAACATTATCAGGCCTGATTTCCGAGATAATCACAGTATACCCTGACCTTCACTCTGCAATAAAGAGAAAATCACAAAACATTGCGTGGACCACAAAATTACCAAAGGCAATGCCATTCATCATCACACATTGACCCTCCATAATACGCAGCTAATAATATTTAAGATGAATCTTCATGGAGCTCTTCTTATTTCTTATTTCTTATTTCTTATTTCTTGTTTCTTGTTTCTTGTTTCTTATTTTATTTATTTGTAAAGAGAC